TAGGCATGCACAATGTTATATGTAGTAGCAAATTAGTAGTAGACTAGGAACAGCAAAAGCCATCTGCTCTACTTTTGCTGCTATGTACTTCAGTAGAATGTTGTACTGCAATACTGATCAAACATAATGCTGAATGCAGTTAGTGTACTCCTGCAATTGAATCAACTTCTCCCAATAAGCTTTAGGCTTTAGCTTTTGAAAGAAAACCTTCTTTCAGCATGCAAATGTCTTGAAAAGAGCTGTCAGGCTGCTTGAATAAGCCTGTAAACTCTCAAAGAGGACCTGTTCTCTCATTTTGCCACCAATTCCCCTATCAATACAGCTTCCTTTTTCTTTCCTCTTTCTAATGTTAGTTCTAGACGTCAGGCATTCTATGTATCAATAATAAAAAGATCTAATGATGCTTTTACATTATGCTCTTGCAAGAAATAGCAGGAAATGTCCAAATTGTGTATTATATCTCAATCGTTCTAAAAGGATATTTGGCTCCAACAATTGTATCAGATGCAAAAGCAATGGAACAAGCTTAGCCTAAAACCCAAGTATTTAACAGGAATAAATGATTTCTGTATAGTTTTAGTTGCTGTAGGAGAGCCATGTTTGTCTATGGTGGCAAAAATCAGAAATTTGGTAGCACCTTTTCCAACTAGCACCTTTTATTAAAAGGCATACGTTTGGTGAGTTTACTGCAGCTCTACATTGACATAAGCATGTTAAGTTACACTGACCCCAGAAAAGCATCTACAGTGAGACCTCAGTTTAACAAACATCAGTGTAATTGATGGAATTCCAATTATATTTACATCATTATGTAATGATGTAAATGACATAAGTCAGTTTACAAAAGTGTGAAATCCCCAATCAAGATTTCACTCTATATTTCCCTTCTGTACTTCCTTTACAGATCTCTTTTTGTAAGAAACTTGCCAGTGTAAACGTAGAAGTTTTTGTTTCGTGATCCGTATTGGTACAGCTAAAAATATGTGAGATGGTTTTGCTGTGATTCTGTTCCATATTTACTAACAATTTTTGTGGCTGACTCCTCCTGCCCTGTTGCAGGATTTAACACAGTGCTCCAGTTCTTTGCTAAAGGAAGTAGAATTTCTGTTCAAATTTCTTAATTAAAAAAGAAAAGAACATATATTATTTAAAATATACTACTAACTTTAGGGTATCGACAAAACTTCAAGGTTTTGATTCAGTATGTACATGTAAAAAAATTAATTGTATACAAAAACTCTAAAATAATACTTATTTTACACCTTAAAATCAGAATCACAGACATGCAAAGCTCATGTAGACTCATCATCATATACATAGAACTGGAACTTATCTAAGCTGCTTCTGATATTAGAGCCTCTACATTTTAATATTGGCAGTCCTGCCTTTAATCCCTTTCCTAATAATGTTCAATTTGGAATGTATCTTTTTTCTTAGCAAAAGCTTGATATTTGTTGAATTGTCCACCATCACCCACCAAGCAATTTTCTAATGAACCAACTGAACTCTCAACATTTAAGTTAGGATTTTTTTCCTGATTTGCATCATTTACCTTTGTTTATACTGACTCACAATTGTTCATTCCTCATGTGAAAATGGAACTCATTGCAATTACCCTTTTTTTAACTGCAAGGCAAATTAAGTCCTTGAGTGCACATTCTTAGTTCTAGTTAATTAATTAGCCAAAAAGTACTGATAATATTATATAATATACTACATGTATCCGTCCATATTATGAGCTGCACTTTTATTCGTACATTCAGCTTCTTGTTCTTCAATCAATCCATACGTGGACCTATTATTTCACCCCATGACAGCTATGTTTGGTGAGATGCTTTGCCAAAATAATCAATGCCTATCTACTCAGCTTTATTTATTTATTTAGCAAATTTATATAGGCGCGCATCTCACAAAAAGTGACTCCGGGCAGCTTACAAGCAGAATAACAATTAAAACTATATCACAATATTAAAAAACATACATTTAAGTTAGGATTTTTTTCCTGATTTGCATCATTTACCTTTGTTTATACTGACTCACAATTGTTCATTCCTCATGTGAAAATTGAACTCAATTGCGGGGGGGGGGGAGGCAGGGGGAAGAACTCCCTTATTTATCTAATCTCCCATTCAGAGTGCAGATTTTTTCTGCAATGTTCTACTTCACCACAACATCCTCACATATTCAATATGTATCATGACTACACTTCACCCCAATTAACCATCCTGAAGTGTTCATTAACCAAATATGAATCTCCTAGAAGAATGATGTGGTACTTTTAACTACCTTTAATTCTGGGCAAATTAAAGAGTCAAATTATTTGTTTGCTTACCACAAAAATAAGCCAACTTTTAAGAACTATCAAAAACATTTAAAAGATAAAAAAGTTTAAATTCTGTTGGCAGCTAAAAACTAGTTGGCTCAAAAGTGGATATTCTTGAAAATCATAATGAATCAGGGATTTCTGAAGAAAAGAAACTGAAACCTGACAGCATGATTGTACATATCATTACTTACTAACTTTAAAATCAATTGGGTTTATTCCCAGGTAAACAGATACGAGACTTTTCCAATAGCAAACGTTAGCTGAGAGGTATCTTTGTACAATAGTTTAACAGAGAGAGAAAAATTCTAGTCCTGAATCTTATTCAAAGTTATGTAGATGGAAGTATATTCCTTTTATTACACTATATTCATGGTAATCATTTTCTGAAAAGCACTTGGCAGTACCAAAAGATGAGGTAATTCATCCTTTGCATCTTTTGGATTTATTTGCAGTTCTAGACACAATGTAAACTTAAATCAAGCAAATGTTTAGGATCATGGTAGAGCAATGAGGAATCATTTTTCAGTTTTCCCTTGGGGTGTGCAAACCTACTCTATTTTAATTCTGGAGTTTCAGTCCAATCAATTTATCAGAAGCTCTTATGCCCTCCAAAGGGGAGCAGTGTAGCCTCCACAGCAACCCTCCAGACCCAACTTCCCTTGCTTACGTCAGACACCTTGAAAGGGACTGAGAAGAAACGGCCTTGCAATGAGGCTAGCATTAGTCAACCCAAACACAGCATCCTGAGACTGGTTGCAGGGTGGAGTAAGATTTGTTTTACCTCTATGATATTACCCCATGCTAATCTATGGTAGAATATAGGTTTGCTTTCTGAATCTGGGCATTGGGTCAGATGAGAGAACCAAGGGAGAGAGCTCTGGATTGGGCAACTGGTGGTCTCTCTAATGAGTTGCAATCTCTCATGCATACATCCAACGAGCAGCAATCCAGCTGCTGCCTTTGGAATGACATATTCTATCTCTTATAAAGAGTCTCAGGGTCATGTGCTACTTTTGTAAAAGACCAGTTATTTAACAAGCTTCAAAAGAACATTGTGTCCCCCATTGTAGGGGAGATGGGCGGGGGGAGAAATCCAACAAATAAATAAATAAACATGCAGCTTGCAAGAAGTGTCCTATTTCCATTACCCCAGACCTACCACATATTTAGGCTATGCATTTATACATGCTTACTGGGAAATAAGCTCGACTGAAGTCAATCGCCATATTGGAATTGGTCTTATGAAGACAACACCATTCACTTTAAACAAATACAGTAACAGTTACAATTTAAGTGTTTTCCAACTCAGAAAGTCCCTTCCTTCCTTCCTTCCTTCCTTCCTTCCTTCCTTCCTTCCTTCCTTCCTTCCTTCCTTCCTTCCTTCCT